GAGGTTAATCGGTGTCCCCGTCTCTGTTCACAGTATGTCCTACAGTCTCTTCCTGCAACAATCAGGATGTCTACAGTGACTTACGCTGGCGCTTCAGGAATGACATGGAGTAATCTCCCGCCGGAGTGCTCTTCTGCCTCTTCATCTGGACCTGTGACTGTGCGGTGAGCTGCAGCTTGATGGCGCTGGAGTTCACCTTGGCAGCGCACAGGAGCTCCTTCATCCCCTTCATCTTCTCACTCTGAAAGGCGATTACAGTGCCAGCTGGCGAGAGGGGGGCCTGCTCCGGGGAGAAAGGAGAAGATGCGGAGTCTGGGAGACTGGGGGACTTGGGCTTTCCTTCAATGTCTCCAGCACGTAGTCCCTGTGAGGAGCGCCGGCGGAGCCCTCCTTCTCCCACCTTCTTGGGCTGAGCTGCCACTGCAGCCGGCTGGCTGCACGGGGAGGTAGGAGCGGCAGAAAGAGGAGAGCTCTGGTCCTCCAGCTTGGACTCCCTCCTGGGCCCACGCCTGCGCCCTTCCCTGAAGTCCTCGCTCGACTGGTCGTCGTCGTCCTGGGGATCTGGCTCTTTGGTGATGATTGTTATTTTCTGACGCACCTTTGGAATCGGAGCACAAATGCGTGTTTAGCTAGAAAGCGCTAACATGTCTGTGGCTCTCCTGCAGTCACGGGCAACTCACCTGGGCATCAAAGCGACTCAGAGACTGGACAAGGTATGTGGCCCAGCCCACATGAAGGACCGGCGTGGGACTCCCCTCCTCCCACTTGCAGATGCCGTCATAAAAACGCAGCAGATGGGCAAAGCACTCGGGGTCCTGCAGGGCAGAGACAGCCGCTGCCTGCTTGGGCTGATCCTGCCAGAGAGCAGAGGTGCAAGACTGAGGCCACGTCTGTCAGTGAGTAATATTCATGATGTGCATCTAAAAACATGATCTAAATTCAGGTGGAGGTGCGCTCTAATGTTCATGAGTTTCTACATGTTCCACATGCTTCATCAGAGAGAAGCTGAATTTGGAAGTCATCTGATAAGGAGCAAGAGAAAGAACATCTTCTGTTGGGTTGAGGTGGTCGTGTGAT